AGGGTTGGGTACACGTTTAGATCTAAGTACTTCATACCACCCTCAAACGAATGGACAGATGGAAAGAACAATCCAGACTCTGAAAGACATGTTACGCGCATGCGCCATAGATTTTGGTGGAAGCTGGGATATGCACCTTCCGTTAGTCGAATTTGCATACAATAACAGCTACCATGCCAGTATTCAGTGTGCGCCTTATGAAGCATTGTATGGACGCAAGTGCAGATCTCCACTTAGTTGGATAAAAATTGGCGATCGGCAATTAACTAGACCTGATATTATCCAGGAGACTACTGACAAGATTGTAATTATCAAGGATCGACTCAAGGCTGCAAGAGATCGCCAGAAAAGTTATGCTGACAACCGAAGGAAACCATTAGAGTTTCAAAAAGGAGATAAAGTACTCTTAAAAGTCTCACCCCGATATATTGGTCCATTTGAAGTATCTAAGAGAGTTGGACCAGTGGCATATAAGTTAAAACTGCCACAAGAGCTGMGCGCTATTCATGATACATTTCATGTATCAAATCTCAAAAAGTGCTTAACCGATGAAACATTGGTCATACCGTTGGGAGATGTACAAATTAATGATCATCTGCGCTTCATTGAAAAACCAATATAAATCATGGATAGAGAAATCAAGCAGTTGAGGCGTAGCAAAATCCCAATTGTAAAAGTTCATTGGACTTCGAGGCATGGACCGGAGTACACGTGGGAAATAGAGGATTTTATGAAAAACAAGTATCCTCACTTGTTCCCAATCGAGTCCAAAGTTAAGGACTGACGAACGAAATTTTTCGGGACGAAATTTTTCTAGCATGGGGAGACTGTGACATCCGTCATTTTTGGAGCATCAGGTTAGACCCTTTATAGGGTTTCTAAATTTAGAATTATATTTTATTATGATCTAGTCATGTTGATTAGAACTCATCTTAGTTCCCAAAATATAGTTCAGAAAACCTTGTTCTGACGGGTAACTGATAAAGTTAACTTATGTAATGTCAAATATATAAAAAATGCTCCAAATATAATAAAGTTGATATTATAAAGTCCAAAAAAAATAAAAAAATAAAAGTCTCATTTGAATATCCAAATAATTTTACCAAAAATGTGGAACTTGGAGTTAATAATGATATCTTTATCCATATTTGACAAATTATATTTTAGTTATAATTTAAATGGACTCTATTTTGTTTAAAAGAAAAATAAAATTTTTATAGACTTGGGCCTTAAAAGTCTGGCCCTTTATTTACATTTAAAACTCATATAAAAACCCCATTTTTTTTGAAATCTTCATTTCCCCTACCACTCCAACCGGAATCACTCTCCAAAACCTCTCAAATTCCATCATCTTGAAGAGCGTTCAAACTTAAAGCAGTTGCAAGCAAAAGGTAAGAGACTAGTTTCATAATCCCTATTTTTCGTCATGATTTCTCATCTTCTACACTTTTCTTCTTTCTCTTTTTATAAACAAACTTTTTGGAGAATCTAAGATGGGAGATTATACATCAATAACATGAAAATGTCTTCAAAATGATGGTAATCTATGACCTACAAACATTAGAACTCAAGAAAAGTTGGTAAAAATGCTTGCATGTGGGTGTTTGGCCATAAAAAGAGTAAGTTTTGTACCTTCAAGTGTTTAAAACAAGTTAAGTGTGCAACAACATACTTGACAGTAGGTAAAACCTACTTTGAACGACCATATCTCTCTGGTTATTCCTCCAAAATGGTTTATTTTTCTTCTAAAACTTATTTTAATGAGTTATCTTTCTAATGCAACTGGTCTCACTCAAAAATATTACTTTTTGAGCCTTCAAGTTCTTGATACAAGATTATCGTGCAAAAAGAGCATTGCTGACAGAATCTTGCATGCATCTTAAATCGGTTATATCTTCTTTAAAACTCATTGAAAATGGGTGATTCTTTTTCTAAAAGTTAGCCTTATGTGTTAGCTTTAAAATAAAGTTAAAATCTCTGAAAAATGATGAGTTTAGGCCCCCAAATGGCCGTCACTCGAAGAGTGTGCAATCTGTCTTGGGGGCTGTGTCACTCAAAGTGGTAGGRTAATGATGAGTGCCTTAAAACCATCCAAAATTCTTGTTATTTGGGAAAAATCTGTTTAACTCATTATTATTGGTGATACAAAAATTTGGACACAAAATGACTTTTGGAAGGTTCCTTTTGACAGTAATTTGTGAGACCAAAAATTCCAGAAACAGAATTTACATTCTGTCCAAATGGCAGTTTTACGTGCAAAGGACTTTGATTTTAAAATATATAATTTCTGGACTATTTTTAGAGCAAATAATATAAGTATCAACTTTAATTCATAAAAACTCGTTGGCATTACATAAAATATAATTTGACTTTATCTTTATTGAGACCCGTTAGGTGATCTAATTTCTGGATGTTGGACTGTTTAGGAAGGTTAGGGCGGACGTTTAACGCTTCAAACGTCGTAAAGTTCTTGGATATTCATCAGCAAACTTGTGAGTATTCACGGCCCCACTTTTAATGTTTTTTGTGTATTTAAACTGGGGGAAAAGAATGAAGTTATGAAAACTATACTGTCTATTTATTAAATTGTTGGACTAAAGAACTGTTTAGTCAAGATTTGTTTATGTCATGAAAGATTGACGGTTTTGCACTATGATATAAATGCTAAATTGATGTACTTGAGAGTATGTTTCCAAATAAAGTCCCCGTCCGTAAACGTTACTTGTTAACTCAGGCATGTCCCCGGGCCGTGGTAATTGTGGATAGCCGCTATTGTGTTGACAGTCCCACCCAGAAAGGGGTGCACATTATCTATGTTTTATTAGTCTAATCATGTTGAATTTGGACCACCGCTGAATTAGTACTACTACGAACTGTGGGACCTAAGTGAGTGTACGGGCTACTTATGGTCGTTCGTAAAATAATGGGGCATATTGGTCTGGAAAGGCTCAGTAGCGTCTCAAGTTTTAAACATCGTGATAGATTTACATTTATCGGGTGCAAGTTCATGTATAAGTTTGCAAGTAAATGATTTATGCATTGTAATGTTTTGTGCATATGAAAACCCGTGAACTCACCAACTCTTTGTAGTTGACGTTGTTTTATGTTTCATGCTTTTCAGGATTTAAGTAAGAAATGAAGTTTTTGGAGTATATATGTGGCGACACCAATTAAGTTCATTTTGTATCTTTTGTAAAGAAGTATTCAAACACCAACTTGGTTATGGATGTAATCTTGTAAAACTTATGGTGTTATTTATTGTATGTTGCTGTGACATGCTTACCTGTTACATCTCGTGTTTCCGCTTTAACGGGGTGTGACATAAGGTCTGGTCAATCTTTTCATGGACAAATTTCTTAGAGATGAGAAATGAGGAGAGGGTATCATACCAGGAATGAGGAGCCTGTTTTAACCCGTAAAGAGCTTTATCTAATTTATAGACATGATTTGGATACTTAGGGTCAAGAAATCCTAAAGGTTGTTCAACGTAAACTTCCATTTTTAAATATGTGATACATGCTTATACCAGTGACATTTTTCTTGTCAAATATACATATTGACCTTTTTCATCCTATCATCAAATTGTATTATGAAATAGGTGTGAAATATGTTATCACATGAGGATAAGAAGAACCGAGGGAGCCGAAGAAGAATACATGGACAAAACATTATGAGGTGCTTTGGACAATGAATTCATGACAACCTTTGTTAAATCATAGAAGGAATTGAAATATATTGAAAATAAACTTTTCCCTTCAAGGCTTTTTGTAATAGCAATTTAAACAACACTTCAATTCCCATTTGTTTGTCATGTTTCACTTTTGCATAAATGCAACCAAGCAATTAATTTCTTTTGGATGTTTTTATTTAATCTAGAATTTGAACAAAAAGTGATATGTTCTTTTGGATTAATAATGATATCTTGTTTTGAACGAATAATGTTTTTTTAATTAACCTGGATATTCAACCCGCTATACGAGCCGACTAATCCCAGAACGACCACCTGCTTTGCAGATAACTCGGAGTCACCGCATTTGAACCTTCGTGGCCACAAGGGGATTTTTATTCCTCCTTGGATTTGAACCTGAGACCTTCTGGTATTTTTAACCTTTGGAGCCAAGCTCAAACCAATCAGGCACCACCCTTATAGTTATGTTATGTTTGTAGTTTATATTTTCAATGTGATATAGAATAATTTGTATTTCTTTTTGTAATTAGTGTTTACAACGTTATCAAATAATTACTAAAAAGCCATTTTACATTCAACACTAAAACATACATAAGGTTAAAATGGTAAATTTTTGTCGTTCAAACTGTTCAGTCAGAACACTATCAAATAGTTATTTTTCAATCAATATTAAATCATATAAAACCTCTTAATCATTTGGAAGATTTAATCATTGTATACCAAATTATTCAGAAACCGCCAAACATCCTAAGATTTCTCTGTGGTTTGTAGATAACTTGCAAATATACTAGATGAGTCTCAATTACGGCAAAACATACGTACAAAGTACAAGGAACCACAAGCTACAACATGGTTTGCGGCATGGCCTTGCTTGTTTTGCGGCACCACAAGGGAGTACGATACCACAACTTGAGGTTTTTTAATTCTTGTACCGCAAGGGAGTACGATACCCACCTTTAGTCCGAATTGGTTATATATGTTAGAAACCTAAGAAAAGATCTCTTGCAACGTTGAGTTACGATTTCTTGACAATTTTAGGAGAAAGTTTAGAGTTGCTTTTGATGGAGTGGTTATTTAAGATAATAACCCCAATTTTGAAGCATAGTTTTCCAAGTCGGAGCATATTTGTGGAAGACCTCATAGAGTAAACAAGTAACGGTAAATTTTAGACAAAAGTAGGAAAAAGGGCTTTGCTCTGAAGCTTCTTTCTTTCTAAAAATGGAAATCGTTCATTATAACTTACGTGGCGGATGATACAGACACGTAGGTAGCGAGTGCTAACTTCGTTGCTTGCGGATCGTTGGCTTCCCCTATCCGATCGATGCTTCTTCCTAACCCGAAAATTAAAAAAAAAATTAAAAATCGCAAGATTTAAGAGCAAGTAGGAGAAGGGTTTATGCTGGGGTTTTAGCGTTCTTCACTTGTTTTTGTGGAAATTGAGCACACACTTTTGAAGAAAAAGTTTTCCTCACTTGGGTTATGGCAGAAATCGAACCCAAATTTCAAAAAAATATCTATTAATAGTTTGGGGATTTAAAGGGTGATGAAAAGGAGTAGAAAGTTCAATTGGTGATTTTGAACGTGGGTTTGTTATACATATACCAGACTGATGTTTAGAAGCAACAATATTACTGCAAGGATATTTGAGCGTCAGATTCGAACTCCTTCTCCTGGTACCAGTGTATGTATTCTGAAATCTCGATCTTCCAGATGTGTTTTTGAATGTGTTTTTATTTCAGTTTCTGTGCAATTTATGACAATTTGTTAGTGGGTTTCGATTTAATTTGCTATTTTTGCATGCTTCACCATTGATTGACATTTTGCTTTCAATATTTCCCCTTCTCATCACTGTTTACGGTACGACATCTTTTGGTTGATTATTGACTTTGACTTCGTTTCGTATATGTAAACCCCCAATAATCACAACCCTCTAACCAAAAGCTGTACTTTTTTAGGTTGGATGTAAGTTTGAGTAGATTGTGTCCTGTTGAACAAAAAAGGGCCTTTTTAAAACCTTTTCTGCAAAAAAATTATATGGATCGAAGGGAATGATTTGTAGAAATGGGTTGGTTTGTATAATTGTATAGATGCTATTTTTCCTTTTCTTTTGTTTTTTGTCTATTCTTCTAAGGTTAAATGAGCAACATTTTCACTTTATATTTGATATGATTTCCAAGTGTTCTTTTTTGTACAAAAGATGTGGCAACTACATTAACCTTTCTCTGATTAATGCAAGCAGAGTAATGTTGTGTTAAATTTATAGAAATTCCTTTCAAGTATCATTAGAGAAGTACTAGGTTTGACATCAAAAGCCAAAAATGTTATACCTTTTAGAAACTTGAGGAAGCATTGATTTTTGTTGGTATATCTCAAGTTAATTGGTTGGAATTTGGGGAAAGAAAACTGTTGCCCCTTGATTGGATCTTCATATCTAGTCATCCAAATTCCAAAACTAGTTGGGATGGTATATTGAAGGAGTGTACGATATTTGCAAAATTCTTTGTATGGTATTAGGTAGGAGAGTAATCAAGGTACTGCTAGAAGTTCTTCTGGAATTGAATAATAGCTAACAAAGCAATTAGCAAGAGTGAGATTTTTTTAAGGTTTTAGACAATAGAATTCTCAATCACATTTGGTCATTTTGTGTTAATAAAAGCCCTTTCTTGAGGTTCTACAAATGCAATCAAAGTGGTAAGATAATGATTATCAGGTCTGATAGGGATTGCGGAATTTAAATAGTGGGGTTTGTAAGAATTCATCCCATATCTCATGTTGTTATTATTTCAAAGGAAGGAGTTCTTTTTTCTAGTACCCTTAATTGCAAGCTTCTTTTAAGTTTGGTCTCCATTTTGGCTGTTTTTTGTTTCGGGGGAGGGGGTAGGTATTAATAATACCACCCAGAACTAATGAAATGATACCTGCAGATTCATCGTGCTAGGAGATTTTACGAAAATATAGTTCCAGGTTATACGATATATGATGTTGAATGTCCTGACCATTCATTCCGCAAGTTCACAGAAGATGGCAAGTACCTGATAAGTTTCAGCAGAAACCATCAGGATTTGATCGTCTACCGACCAACATGGTTATCATTTTCATGCAAACAAGAAGATTGTGATACTCAAGATCTTCCACCAAAAGCGAAGAAGTTTGAGAGTTTCTTCACTCAAATTTACTCTGTGCCACTTGCTTCCGCAAGTGAGCTCATATGTAAGGACTTCTTCCTTTATGAAGAGACTAACCAGTTCGGACTTTTTGCAACTTCAACTGCACAAATCTACGATGCCCCTGCTACTGGAGGTGCTATTCAGGGAGTTCCCTCAATCGAAAAAATAACGTTCCATCTTCTGAGGTATGGTCTCAACCTGATAAAGTGCAAAATTTTGTGTCATATTTCTCCTTTCATGCAAAGGTACAATTTGACTTGTGAAGTCGAACATTTCTACAAGATCTTTATGTTTTGAAAAATATTTTATACAATATATTCATCAAGCTTGTTTACTAGTTGCATACAGAACATCATTCTCGAGAAATGAGAGAAAGAACACTTCAACGTATGCGAATGAGTGATTTTGGATAAATTGTTGAAATAATATGCCAACATAGCCAACTTACTCGGCACCTTTTTCTCAAGAATCTTAGTTTTAATAAAAAAGTGTAGTGTTTTTTGCCCCTTTGCCAGAACAATGGTTTAGTTGCAACAAAAACCCAAATAAAGTGGTTCGAAAACTTAATAACTCAATAAAGATCTATAATATAAATTTTGCATGATATGTATGATGTCAAAAGTCAGGTAATACATCTTAGGAGGTTGTAAAATTTGTATGCTTATTATAGCGTTTAACTCGGACCAGCTTTCTTGCTTCTGTGTTTTTTAGATTGGAAGATGGAGTTGTACTTGATGAGAGGGTTTTCTGCAATGATTACATCAATTTGGCACACAGCATGGGTGTTTTTCTATATGATGATTTACTTGCTATAGTCTCTCTCCGTTATCAGCGTATTCACATACTTCAGATTAGGGATTCGGGGAGTCTTGTTGATGTACGAGCAATTGGGGAGTATTGTCTTGAAGATGATGAACTTTTTCTCAGTTCTAGTGCGCAGGCAAGTACTGAAATTTGTATTTGTTTTTCGGGTGACCCTCCAAATTTCATGGACAACTATGTCGATTTTCTGTATTTGCATGTTATCGGAAAGTCTGTCCTGAGTCCATGTTTGACTTTTGAGTGTCAAACGACTAATTTTCACCTTCACAAACAATAATCTTTTTTTGTGTTAAATGTACTAGAGTAGAAACAATATCTACATAAATTCCTAACTGTTAAACATGAATTTTGAAAAATACTAGTTTTGAATCTCTAATATCAAAAGTTGAATCCTTTTCGGGATGTTTTGGCTATTAGTCATGTGACTAAAATACTCTTTTATAATGACCAAACGTGGAGTTTCTTGGCTTTATGCTTTTTTCTGAAACTAAACTATGGTAGCTCATGAACCTAATAACCGAGGGCATCCCAGCTTAGAAAGTTTTGCAACTTTTATGCGAGGGAATATTTCTTGCTGTTCAGTTAGATCTAAATTGTTTATCAATTAACGATGGAAATTATATGGAATGTGATCTTGCTTAACCTATATCAAATGCTGTCAAAATAGAATTTACTTGGTGCAGTCTGTGGTTGTGAAGAAAATCTTAGGAAACGGTGCACAAACACACGCACACGAACAAGGCAACAATGAAGTAAATTGCAGAAAAATAAACAACACCCACGATTTACGTGGTTCACTTGATCGGTGTGATCAAGCTACGTCCACAGCCTCACCAGTAAGGTGTATTATTGATCACAAAGTTGGGGTTTACAATTACATACTGTTTATATATACAAAGTCGAAGCTAGGTCAAATTCCCATGTGGCGCAGGCCCAAAATCTGAAATTATCGGCGCTGCCCCTATAGACTCCGCAAGGGGCGGCCTCCCTTGACCCCTGCCAGCTCACCAGGGAGCAGGTCCCCCTACCTGGTGGCGGTGATTAGATCCCTCCATCATTAATCAGACTCCTTATTTTAACGGAAAGTATTTATTGTGTTAACTCAACTGCCTTGTGCTTTACTTCCACCATAACCACAGAGCTATATTGTCTTTAACATATATCTTCTCCATTTTCCGTTCAAATAAACTCGAGATCATCTCAGATAATGTTATTCATAATTTTCAGTTCATGTTAGATTGATTAGGGAAGTATATGACATAATGATGTGAGAGTTACAATGTGAAAGGAAATTTGACACAAGAACATAGCTTGTCAATAACGACAGTTTGGCCTTGGCAAAGACTAACCTAGAATAAATTTTCTTGAATATGGAGCCTGATTGGGATTTTAAAACAGGCCAAAACTTTAAGGATCCAAGTATTGCAGCTCACAGAAGAGTGATAGAGTCCTATCAACAATTTTGGATGCAGACAAATTGTTGAACCATGTAAATATTGTGTCTTCATTTTTCCGGTTTCTGTAACCAACTGTTATATGTGTGTCTTCTACAAGCAGAAACAAATATTTATTCTACATTGCCAAGCAAATGCCTAACTTGGAAAATTACTAATGTATAGCGTATTTCTTTTCCTTTTTGTATCTACAAGACACCCGGAATGCTAATAGGGTAGGAGTTGTTTTTACCTGGATGAGGATGTATGGGGTTATGGGTAAAGCTAAATTCAACTTGCATCATATAGAAATAGTAGTAATGAATTTCTCTTAAATCGGACAGATTGAAGGGATTCAGTTTGAGTAGCCTTGTGGTCATGTTGCCACTCTTGGATACTTGTATAACGTCACCATATGGCCTTCAAGCATCACTTTTGTAGTTGTGCGTTGGTTTTAGGAAAACTTTTTGAATTTATACAACTTTCTTCATGTTACAGGGCATGTCAAATGTTGACAGAAGCGCACCACAACACATGACCATGAACAATGCTGCAAATGGCCCTCATCTTGAACAGCCTGCTCAAGAAAATCCGTTCTTGACTGGTATAAAACAACGGTTACTTTCTTTTATAGTCCGAGGGATACGGAATGAAGAAAAAGATGAAACTATGGTTGGTCTTCGACTATCGAACTTTTGTCAATTTCAGAGTTTATACATGTTTTCACATGATGTGCTGCTTTGATTCTTAGACACATGTGTGTTTTTATGGAACTTTTGCTGCTTATTGTTGTTTATTTATTTATTTATCTATTGTTGATTTAGAGAATCCAATCCCTCAAGAAGAAGTTCTACTTTCACTTTCAAGATTATGTAGATTTGATTATATGGAAGGTGGGCTCTGACTAAATCAAATTCTTTTTATGTTCTTTTCCTCATACATGATAATAAAACATCTATATTCTTTTGGGTAGGTGCAATTCTTGGATCGACATCACTTACTAATCAAGTTTGGGAGTGTCGATGGAGCAGTAAGTATTCTTAACATCTATTTTCATCACGTTTTATTGTTTTTGCTTGAATCATTGTGTAAGAGTTAATGCTTGAATATATTGTAAATGAGTAAATCTATGGTTAACATCGATGATGCCACCCTTCACTTTATGAGAGTGTGATTACAAAGAACATGTTACATCCCATGTTTTGTTTGCGAGTTTGATTGCAGCATTGGTGGTTGCTATAGATTTGCCAATTATAAAGTGACAATGACTATGAAAAGACACATTTTCTTTGTTTATTGGTGTATGATCTGTTATAGATCTTTGGTTCACCTGGGAAATTGGAATCTGTCAAAGGAATTGGAATGGAAATTAATCAGGTTTGACCATGCGTTTGGTTGGCAAGAACTGGAATGGAATCTGTCAAAAAAATGAATGTCTTTTTGGTTCGTTGAATATAATAGTGGTGGTGGGGAGGAAGCGGTAGTAGTGTCAATGGTAATAGTGGTGGCTGAGGCATGACTGTGGTGACGGGGACGGTTGCGGTGGGGTCAAGGCAATAGTGGTAACAACCATCACGGTGGGATGGAATGAAATGGGGTAAATATAAGAGCATAATAATGTTTCTAGAAGATGGAATGAAGGAATTTGAATTCATCGTGTGTGGCATTTGAATCCTTACTAAAACTCAAAGGGGGTGTTTGGTTCGCAGAATGTTTTTGGATGGAATGGATTCTTTTAAAGGAATTTGACTTCAAAGGAATTGGAATGAAATGTTATCAGATTTGACCATCTGTTTGGTTGACACACATTGGAATGGAATCTGGTAAAGGAATTGGAATATATTTGTTTTATTCACATAATGTAGCTTTGGAATTGGAATAAAATATTAGTAAATGACCAAAATACCCTTTTTTGAAAAATTTGAAACCGAAATCCAACCAACTACTTTGTTCAGATCGGCGGTGGTCAGTGGCGGTTCAGGTCGGCAGTGGTTCAGATTGGCGATGGTTCAAATCGGTAATGGTCAGCGATGGTTCAGATAGGTGGTGGTCGGTGGTGGATTAGACCGGTGGTGATCAGTGGTGGTTCAAATCAAGTAGGGAAGATGGGGATAATTTTGTCTTTTTGAGAAAATGGGATGTAATGGAATTGAATTCCTTCTCAATTTGTGATGGAATGGCCAAATCCATGAATGGTGGAATGTGTGGAATTCAATTCCATTCCATAGGTAAACCAAACACCTGAATGGAATTTGTTTCGTCGGAATCCTATGAAGCAAACGCCCCCAAAGAATGAACCAAATGCATAAATGGAATTGACCATTCCAATTCTTTCAAATTCAAACCACAAGAGGTGGTGCCTTATTGGTTTGAGCTTGGCTCCAAAGGTCAAAAGTACTCACAGGTTCAAATCCAAGGAGGAATAAAAATCCCTTTGTGACCACGGAGGTTCAAATGCGGTGACTCCGGTCTATCTACAAAGCAGGTGGTCGCCTTGGGATTAGTCGGCTCGCATAGCAGGTTGGATATCCATGTCAATAAAAAAAAATCTTTCAAATTCATTGGGATTCCAACGAACCAAACTCCATCTAAGGTGTTAGAAGCAATCTCCTTGTCCACTACTAGTTGGTATTTGAGAAGAAAGAAGAATATGGAAGTATTTGATGCAAAAAGAAACTGCATGTGTAATAAGAGTTGAAAACACACAGAGAAATTGATCCTAGAGGGCTAGGGTCCTGAAGAGTTAAGATGCTAAATTATAAGAGAGAAGACCACAACTCTTTATTGGGAATTGCATACTTGATTGAGCAAGAACAAGCTTAAACAAAGACTACAAGTTACAAAATTCAAATATCCAATCATAGTGACTAATCTTCGTTTGTATTTAATTTGAGGTTCAAGGAAAAACTAATCTAACCCACACATTTTCCTCGCAACATGGAAAAGATGTGTATCTATCTATATCTTTCACGTCAAATAAATCATGCACACACGAAAAGCTTGTCCTTCATCAGATACATGATCCATTAGTTTGTTTTCCATGTGATACAGGTGTCCCGAAATGCTGATAACCACCCTGCATTCTTTGCTGTATATAACATGGAATCAACAGAAATTATTGCATTTTATCAGGTATCCATATAATATATATGTGTATATATATTATTCCCTAATTTCTATCTCAAGTGTATTTTGTCTTAACTTGGAATATCTTCACAGATGTCCTCCGATGAGCTCTATTGGTTGTTTGAACAGTTTTCTGATCATTTCCATGTCCCATCAAAAAGTCCCCCGTATATGAATTTTATATCATCTCACTCGAACAACATTCATGCTCTTGAGCAACTGAGAAGCAGTAAAAACAAAGCTACGAGCTTCTCCCTGGTAATTAATATCATACTGATGGCATGTTGTTTTAAGTTTTTCTGCATCTGATTTCCTTAAAATACACTTTTGGCTTTTGAGGTCAAAACCAATATGCATTCCGTGACTTAGAATGTTTTAATGATTACATGAAAACTTTATAACAAAAAGTACATACGGCATTTGTTGGTTTTTCACTTCGGAATAAAAAAAAATATTGACTTTTGATCTCATAAGTCAATGAGACTGTGTTCAGGTCATCAGCAAGATTCATTGGGTTGACCTCTTATTGTTGGTTTGAACTTATGCAGTTTGTTAAGAAAGTGCTGGCCTCTTTGCCGTTTAATTGTCAGTCTCAGAGTCCTTCACCCTATTTTGATCAGTCTCTATATAGATTTGATGAAAAGGTTCGTCTTCGAATCTACATATTACTTGCAAACATGTGTTATTTCAATATTTGATTGTTTTCTGGTCTTGATTCGGGTCCGTTTGGTACCTGGACAGGACAGAACATAAACTTGTCCCACATTTGGTGCGACCTTTAGAATGGGATATAAGAGAACGGAGTTTTTTTTGTCCAACCAAATTTGGTGGGATATAAATCAGGGAGACGAGACAAGATTGGTTAATTACTAAACGACCCATGTCAGATTAAAACCCTAAAACCTTGCACAATTTTTTCACCCGCCTAGTCCTGTCTGCGTACCAAACGCACCCGAAATCTTCGTACATGGTCTTTTGTTGAGGCTATTCAAACCCTCGAGTTTCTATAACCTTCCAGTTCTTTCAAGGCTCGATCATGCAGAATGTGGTCTTCAATAAACCAACACAAACCAAACACACCCAGTATGTTCTACTTGGAAGTAGAGTCTAGGGGTAAGATGTCTCTACCGCTAAAGAGTAGAGGGGACATGATGTGGTTTTCACTTTTACGGCAAATTGGTCTTTTAGTACTATCAACTAGGCATTTTGATAATCTACCTCATTACAATCCATAGCTTAAGCGACACCTCTATGTAGTAAGCCTACATATATTCATCTCTGTTATGATTTTCTCACACTTGGCACAAGTCGCTGGTCTTTATGGAAATAGCTCCTCTACACTTTGGGGTAGAGGTCGGGTATGCAATTGTGCGTATATCTTACCATCCCTCGACTCCACCAACGGTAGAATATACTGGGTCAGTTTGGTTTGGTTTATTGCTCATTATTTTTCTTAATCCATCTAGTTTTCCTTTTACGAGGTGGTGAATCCAACAAGCATTATATTTCAATCATCAGGTTTAATATTTCTTTTTCTTTTTAGCACTTACATTCTTGCATCATTTAGACTCCAAATATAATCCATCTTGGCTCATGGAAACCTCCTCTATACTCCTAAGAGTTGAAGTAAGGTCTTGATACATTCTACCCTACTAGGTTTGTTTGGTTTAGTTTATGCATTTCATCTTGGTTATTGGTTATTGGTTATTGGTTATCTTGCAATGGCTGCATTGACCTTTCCAGCTTCAGAGAGATAATTGCATTCTATCACTTATGACTATGTATATATATATATGTATATATGTTTGTAGCTTATTTCTGCGGCTGACCGACATAGACAGTCGACTGACCATCCAATCAAGTTTATCCTAAGGAGGCCTCCACATACCCTCAAGTTCAAAATTAAACCAGGTAAAGGAAAGAGTTCCATTTTGACTTTTGATTACCTTCTGATTCAACCAACATCTGACTATTGAAAACGAACAGATTTCTTTTTGTGTCACTTTGGCAACAAAATTCTTCAAGAATCCTTGGTCAATTTTGAAGTTGAAAAAGTGTGGGTTTGACCTCATAAGTCAAACCTCACTTGTTGAGATCTTAAAAACTTTGTTGTTGGCTTATCAGGTCCCGAAGCTGGCATTACAGATTGCAGGACAAAGAGGATATCTTCATTTCTTTTTCATCCCATTTTCCCTCTCGCCCTTTCGGTTCAGCAAACGCTGTTTTTGCAGCCTGCTTTCGTAAATATTCATTTTCGTAGATAACCCCAGATAGCGAAATGTGTTAATCACCATGAAACGTCGTCATTGAAACTGCATTTTAACTGCAAAGTTCGTAACCACGTGTTGTTTAGTTCACGTGGTGGATGTTATGGCTGAATTGAATCGATACAGTTGTATTTTCCCAAAATTGGGACCAAATTTGTACAAGTATTCTTTAGAGATTAGAATATAATTAAAAAGGCTTGATGTTTTTATAGAACTTTTGTATAACTGTTTATGCACTGTTATGAACATGCATGCTTTCTACAACTTGCATATGAAAGTTTAAGATGATAGAAATCATTTTTCTTGAAACAACACATACACATATGTATACATACACATGTATAACTTGAAACAAGAACACTGAGGACTATAGGAAAGTAAAATAATACACAATTATGTTCGTACCCTAGAAGGGTATCTTGAAATATGACTATGGGAAAGTAAAATGATACACAATTATATTTTTGAACCCTTTTATCACATGTGATAATACACGTGAGGAGACCTAGTGTTGTTCGACGATTTGAGCTTGCACCAAAGGTCACACGTGTCTTATTTAGTTGGTATCACATTTTATCACATTACAATAAAAGGATGTCATGTTTCGTAAAATGAAAGTGTGCTTATTTGAATTTTTCCCCGTATATATATAAGAAAAATTTAAAGGAAGGGTAATATGGTAACTAGAAAAAAAGCATTGACGATAATCACGATCTCGATCCTGTTAATGTATTGAACGAAAGTCTTGTTGGCGATATACGATCTCAATTAAGTTAACGATTCTATCATTGATTTCTCTCGATTCTTTCTCGATCGAAATTCTATGTTATCAAAATTATCAAATTTCTTAATTTTTCTCGATCAAAACTCGTATTCTTTTTATACGAATCTGAATCCAGAAAGCCATCTTGAGCAAGATGTTGGTTTTGATCCTAAACTAATGCTATATATGAATCTAAGATTAATTTGTGAATCAATTAAATAGTTCACATGTGAATCTTCAGGTTCATATGTGAGTCTGTTAAATGGTTTACATGTGAATCAATTAAATAGTTCATATGTGAATCACATGGATTCATATGTGAATAAGTTAAATATATAATATGTGAATCACAGGAATTCATATGTGAATTACACAAGTTCACATGTGAACATATAGTTCATATGCGGAATACACGAATTCACATATGCACATGTAGTTCATACGTGAATCACACGGGTTCACATATACACTTGTTTGTCGTCTATTTGTAAAAGTTATGAAACTACCCCTTTATATCTACATATTTGTTATCATGCGACCGGATTATCGGATGCTGCACAATCAGCTCAAATCTTGACTGTTAATTTTTTAATGGAAGGGCTATGATTATTTCTCTACTTCTTAGAAGAATATTTGACTTTATATATACACAAACATAGATAGATAGATAGATAGATAGATAGATAGATAGATAGAGAGTGAGAGAGAGAGAGTTAGGTTCATACGAGAACAATAATCAAAATAAGAGAATAAGAAAATGATCGAATCGCATGTGATTTTACACTAAAATCATGTGTAAAATCACATGTCATTCACATGACTTTGGCCGCGACCTAAGGTCATGGGCTACGCCACTTATACACCCTTGTGTTGATCGCTAGTATAAAATAACATGTGATTTTGCATTTGATTTGGCCGTTTTAGTGTTCTCTTATTTGAACGATTTTTTTCGTTTGTACCTCCCTGGGTGGAGCCACCTTGGAGCAAGAAGCGGCATTGACTCCCCCCTTAAACTTCCAAAATAAAATGTTATATAGTCTCAAACCTAAATTACGCACTTGAAATTTTATTTATCATATCAAATTCTTCCTTTTCTTCATTTATAAATAACAAGTTTTCTAAAAATTCTAAAATAAAAAAGTTACTTTATTGAATACTTAAACAAATTATTGATGTTCCAAACAATAGTTAACAATGAAAATCTTAAGAAATGTAGAGAGAGAAAGTTCTTCAAAGGTTTTGTATATTGATCTTCAAAGCTTACAATACATGAAAATGAAATGTTACACTAAAATTAAATGGCAACTACACTATTTATACAAAGGAAAATACAAGGAAATCAACAAAAGCTTGAATACAACAATTAAGCATATAACTTTGAACCCATGATTCTCCCCCTTTGGATTCAAGCTCTAGAAATAGAAAATCTTGAACATCTGAACCCAAGATGTGTTTCAAATCTTCTAATTGCATTCCTCTACTCAATCTTCTCATCAAATAACTCCAGTCCTTTAAGAAGCAAGCACCTTTCTCTCAAATTCATCTTGTTAGACCCCGACGCTTTGTCATCCTGAACTTTCTTCAACTCGAGCTGTTTTCTGATGATCTTAATTGTTCCATCACTGTACTTTTGAAGTTCATTAAAGCTAAGAAATCTTTTGGCACCCTCAGAGTTTTCATATATCACACCTAAATCCGGATCTTCAAGAATCATATACAGAGGGTAACCATCAACGTCTTCCAAATCTTGATTATGCTTCTTCAGATTGATATGTTTCTGATTGTTTTCATATCTCATCTGAACATCTATTATATAAGACAATTTTCTCTGACACTTGACAAATCTCTTGATGGCTTCTAAACCCTTGACAATTCTTTCCAATCTGACAGTTTGATTTCTGAAGTCATGATATATAAGCTTTGAGAGTGAATTGTCTGATGAAAGGAAATTATTGAAAAAGAAGAAAGATAGATAATAGAAGCTGAAAAGATTTTGGTTACTGAAAGAAAAGTTTTGGAAATAGAGAAGGAGAAGATGATAGAAGCAGAGAAGAGATTTGATACTGAACGAAAATCTTTTGAAAGTAAGATTAACACTTTGGAGTTGAATGCCAAAATGCTTTCAAAATAAATATCTGATTTTGAACAAGTTATCATCTTGGAACGTGCCAAGTTTAATAAAGAGAAGAAAGAGCTTAAAGAAGAATGTCTAAGCAAGAATTTGGAATTGTTTGACAACATTGTTCAGAAGAAGAGAAAAGAGTGTTTGCTCCTGAAAAGAAAAAACTGCCAAGAAAAATGTTGTAATTGCCAAAGAGCTTACAGAGAAGAAGAAATGGCTTAACATTGCTTCTGAAAATGAAAAGGGAAGTTCAGATGAAGAGAGAAAGGAATTTGAGAAAGAAAGGAAAGTGTTGATCCCAGATCTCTCATTTATCACTAATAATCAAGTTAAGAATAACCAAATTATAGTGTTTAGATGAATAAAATGATGAACACTCAAGAACAATGTATGAACATTCAAAGAATAATCTTGAGTGCCAAATGTTTCACTTTATTCAATGATTATGTAAAAGTGTAAAGCGTCAAAAATTACAATAAGTCTAACCACCTATTTATACTAGTAAGCTAATAAGAAGATAACTATCTAGTGAGACTATTTAGCTAATCTTCTACTAACAGATAAAGCTTATCTATAATAAGGATAAACATTAAAACAAGATAAACTTTGTAGAATCCACCTGTTGAATGGTTATCTCCAGCTGTCTTCCATGGGATATGAGTTCAACCTTATCTTCATATCTTCATTGCTTGCCTCTGGTTTAACTGGTGAATGAAACTCCAAGTGTTAGTATCCAGAGGGATTATGGAGATGCACTTTCCATCGCATCTCTAGTCAGTTCATCGACCCTCTGGATGGTCTTCAGACTTAGTCATTTTTCCATGAAGTCTTCCATCGGCCTTCTGGTTCTTCATCACATATTTGTCTTCATTACTTCATACATAATACTTAAGGGGTCTAACAATCTCCCCCTAAGTAATGAAAAAGCAAACATCAGCTATTCTAAGAACATTCAAAGTATAAATGAAGAATAGAGGCTATTCTAAAGAAAATCATCTTTTGCCAAATTTTTCATTGGAACAAATGATGAATTCTTACATTGCTGAAATGGAAATTAGAAAAAAAATAAGACTACATTTAGGGTCTCC